ACTCTAAATCTTAGAAGATGCTAAATGTGGCCGGGCATGGTGGCTCATGCCTGCAATCCCAGCACGTTGGGAGGCTGAGACATGACAGTCATTGAACCGCATCTCTAAAAAAACATACAAAACTTAACCAGATGTGGTGGCATGTCCCAGTAGTCTCAGCCTGTGGGAGGCTGAGGTAGAACGATTACCTGAGCCCGTGAGGCTGAGGGCTGTGGTGAACAGGGATCGTGCCACTGCACTCCAGCCTGGGCAACAGAATACCTGTCTCAAAAAAAGAAAAAAAACAAGATTCTAAATGCAAATGTTGTAGAGAGGTTATCTATTACTCTAGTGGTGCCCACCAAAATTTAGCTAGTACTTTGGAATAGTTGAGATGAAAATACTGTAGAAGTAGTGTAGACATTTAGCTAGAAGGCGAGTCCTGAAATAACTGAATCCAGCCAGGTTAGTTTGAAGACTAGAGGAGAAAGCTGCATTGTGTGGAAGGTGGATGGAGCAAGAGCAGCAGATGCCTGCAGGGTGTGACAGCAGAACAGAGCCCAGTACAGCAAGAGAAGTGAGGGCTTCTCAAGACACCAGACCAGTGCTTTTCAAGTTGCCACTACAACTGGAATTACTTTGTTACTAAATAGAATAGAAAAGAAAATATAGCAGGGTGTGGTGGCTCACGCCTGTTATCACAGCACTTTGGGAGACAAAGGCAGGAGGACTGCTTGAGCCCAGGAGTTGGAAACCAGCCTGGGCAACATAAGCAAGACCTAGTCTCTACAAAAATTTTAAAAATTAGCCGGGCATTGTGGTGCACACCTGTAGTCCCAACTACTCAGGAGGCTGAGGTGGAAGGATCGCCTGAGCCCAGGAGGTCAAGGCTATGGTGAGCCATGATCGTGCCACTGCACTCCAGCCTGGGTGACAGAGTGAGACTCCAACTCAAAAGGAACAAACAGACAAACATATAAAAGGAGGGAGGGAGGGAGAGAGAGGGGGAGGAAAGGAGGGAGGGAAGGAAGGAAGGAAGGAAGGAAGGAAGGAAGGAAGGAAGGAAGGAAGGAAAGAAGGAACCAACTTGCAATACATGTTAAGGGTAAGCATTCTTTCATGATACTAGTTTTCAGGTTCCCGTGTGCGTATACCCTAGGTCAAGAAGTAAGCTATATTTGTTATCGTGAGTCATGTTCAAAAATATTGCAAAGCCATTGCACCCATCTGTAAGCTTTGGACAAGCAAAGCCTGTGTCTGTTATTCACCAGGACATCTCCAGAAACAGCACCTGCCTGGCACCAGTTAGATGCTCGGTAAATGCCTAGTGAATGAAGAATGAAGAATGAATGAATGAATGAAGAAAGAAGAATGAAGAATGAAGAAGACAGGGGACATTGGAAAGGTGGGGAATTTTACTTCAGATGTTGATTTGGCCTCTACAGAATATACATATGCACCTACAGTTTCCTCAAGAGAGGATTCTTACCAGAGGACGAACTTGTGAAACCTGAAACTCTTTATATCCTGACTTTCAGGCCCATAATTAGGAAGCCAACAGTGACTGCTTGAGGGCCTCCCCTCTACCCCGTGGATCCCCTTGACAGCAGAAGATGCCAGAAGTGTTCTCATTCCCAACAACCCAGTGGGGCAGAACTATGCTTCTCCCCAAGTCCTAACCTTAAAACCAGCCTACCTGTCAACTGGAGAAACTAGGGTCCACTGTCAAGGTGGAACAGGTGGGGTTAAGCCCTGGAGGCAGCAGACAAGGGTCTGATAGACAAAATGTGCTTGTATTCTCTCACTCGTGTACCAGAGGTCATCAGCCTTGCCATCCCCGGCGATCTGCTGGTCAAGAGCTGAAGACTTGAAGAGAGAAGCCACAAAACACAACCAACACAGCTGCCTAAGATGGCTTACCATCAAGGACAGTATTTCATTTCAAGTTCATACCATGATGGCCAGGCACGGTGGCTCACACCTGTAATCCCAGCACTTTGGGAGGCCGAGGCAAGAGAATTACCTTAGCCAAGGGGTTTGAGACCAGCCAGGGTAACTTGGCGAGACCTCATCTCTACAATAAAGAAAAAAAATTAACTGGGTGTTGGTGGCACGTGCCTGTGGTTGCAGCTACTTGGAAGGCTGAGGCAGAAGGATCGCCTGAGCCCAATAGGTTGAGGCTGTGGTGGCTGTAAGCATGCCACTGCACTCCAGCCTGGACAGCAGAGACTCTGACTCAAAAATAAAGACCATGATGACAGTCTCTTCCTTGTACATGTCCATGCCATGGAGGTTCCTGCATTTAGGGAACACCTAGTCAGTCCTCTCAATGCATTTATGAAGAAAGAGATGAGGAAGGAATGACAGAGCCCAGAGTGCAGGAATGAGATATGGGAGAGGAGCAACAGGACGCAGCTTTCCCCCTTGCCATCAAGTGTCCTCTAAATTTCACACCTGTTGGCCAGAGACAGTGGCTCAGGCCTGTAATCCCAGCACCTTGGGAGGCCGAGGTGAGAGGATTGCTTGAGCCCAGGAGTTCGAGACCAGCCTGGGCAACGTAGCAAGCTCTTGTTGCTACAAAAAATTAAAAATTAGCCAGGCATGGTGGCGCACACCTTTGGTCCCAGCTACTTGAGAGGTTGAAACAGAAGGATGGCCTGTGCCCAGGATGTCGAGGCTATGGTCAGCCATGATCGTGCCACTGCACTCCAGTTTGGGTGACAGAGTGAGGCTCTGACCTTTCTCCCCCGCAAATAATACTTGTTTCTCAAGTCCAAAAATAGAAAATAGTAAAGAATAAAAGCCCATGGTGGCATTTTGAGGCTATTATCCCAGGCAGAGAGCCCCAAATAAGAACATGGTCTCTTTTGTTACCTTGTTTATAGGTATCCTAAGTGAAACTGTGGCCACCAAAATGTGCATATCACTTCCCATCTCAGAATTCCTTTCTCTTCCCCTCTCTGTATTTCAAAGACATTTCCAACTAAAGGCTGCCACATGCCCAGCCTATGTGAGCACCCATGTCATCACACCTGTTCTAATTATCTCAAGTTATTCTGATAAATGACTCATATTGTACCTCCCTTCAGTTAGTTAACATCGGCAGTATTTTCTAAACTCAAACCCATCAGCTTTCCCAGGGTGTTTTGTGGTGGTTGTTCAGTCCTTTTGCAGAAGTGGAAGCAACTATACTGTATTTACCATGTCCACTTACGGTTAAGTGGTTAAGGTAACAGGAGGAACAAAGATGTTGATTTTGGCGATGACTCAACATGAAAGTGAAGGCATCAGAAGTAACTGTTCTCAGGAGGTAGCGGACCAGAGCTGACATAAGATACCACCCCACCGTGTCCAAAGGTGCAGGCACACAGAACTGATGAAGTGTATGATGGAGTATCTGGTATAAACTGCTTTCTAAATAAGAAGTGAGTATACCAATGTATCTCAAAAATACCAATTAGACAATGAACTAAGAAATACATAGTTTGCCGGGTTCAGTGGCACAGCCTGTAATCCTGTGCCTTTGGGAGGCTGAGGTGAGTGGATTGCCTGAGCCCGCGGGTTCGAGACCCGCCTGGACAACTTGGCAAGACCTCATCTCTACAATAAATCAAAAATTAGCCAGGCGTGGTAGCACGCGCCTGTAGTTCCAGCTACTTGGAAGGCTGAGGCGGAAGGATCGCCGGAGCCCAGCAGGTCAAGGCTGCGGTGGCCGGGAGCAGCCACTGCACTCCAGTCTGGGCAACAGAGTGAGACTCTGACTCAAAAAAAAAAAAAAAAAAAAGAAATACATAGTTTAAGCTTCTTTTCTGAAATTTTCAAGAACTTGAAGAATTTTAAGGGGCAATCTCTATTGTTCACTTTTGTGAGCTAAATTATTCTCTTTTTATTAGATTAGCTAAATCTATGCAAATATGCAAAATGCATTTGAAGGCATTAGTAGGCAGGGTGTGGTGGCTCATGCCTGCAATCCTTTGGAGGACCAAGGTGGGAAGATCGCTAGAGGCCGAGAGTGCAAGACCAACCTGGGCAGAGCCCCATCTCTGTTATTTAAAAAAAAAAAAAAAAATCCAGGCACAGTGGCTCACACTTGTAATTCCAGCACTTTGGGAGGCAGAGGCGAGAGGATTGCCTCAGCCCAGGGGTTCAAGATCAACCTGAGCAACTTAGCAAAACCTTGCCTTGACAATAAATCAAAAAAAGTAGCCAGGCGTGGTGGAATACACCCATAGTTCCAGTTACCTAGAAGGCTGAGGTAGAAGGATTGCCTGAGCCCAGCAGATCGAGGCTGTGGTGACTGTGAGTGTGCCACTGAACTCCAATCTGGGAGACTCTAACTCAAAAAACCAAAAAAAAAAGGAAAACAAAAGAGTATCTACAATCAACTATAATAAAGAGAATAATAACTAAGCTATTAATCTAAGGTCTTAGATTATGAGTAGAAATATTAGTGGAAATTAAAAGTAAAAAAACGACTTATTTCTTAACAAGTATTAAGCTAAGTCAAGTAGCACAGAGCAATGAGATCCTGATTTATTGAATAACCTATTTATAGATAATTTCCTTCTCTGAGATCAACTACTTTATACATTAAATAATGTTGCCCTGCCTGGGCAACATAGTGAGACCCAGCCTCTACAAAAAATTTAGAAAAATTAGAGCCGAGCATGGTGGCACACACCTGTAGACCCAGCTGCTTGGGAGACTGAGGCAGGAGGACTGCCTGAGCTCAGAAGGTGCCACTGTACTCCAGCCTGGGCAACAGAGTGAGATCCTAACTCAAAATAATAGTAATAATAATGTTTGCACCTAATGTGACAATAAATCCTGCCTTAAGCTCTAGACACTCCTCATGAGAGGAAAGGCCAAGGTGGAGATACAGGGACCCTCCTCACTCCTCCCTCTGTCTCATCCCACTCTCTTGCTAGCAGTGAATGGAAGGAGGAAATGGAAACTAGCCCAGAGTGAAAACTGAAAAACTTTCTATTCGGCCCACCCAAAGCTTATTTGAATACACTTACCAACATCTCCATAAACATACAGGCCCTTTGGAGGTTTGCGCCTTGAAAAAAGCTGCAAATTAAAAACAAATTATAAATCTCTACCATGTAAATAAATAAGTATAATCATATATGTAGCATTCCTAACTGTGCTATATATAAGATTAAAGGAGGTTTTTATACACATTAAGTAAAAAAGAACTAGCCAGGCATGGTGGCTCACGCCTATAATCCCAGCACTTTGGGTGGCCAAGGTGAGAGGACTGCCTGAGTCGTGGGTTCAAGACTAGCCTGGGCAACTTGGTGAGACCTCATCTCTACAATAAATCAAAAAATTAGCTGGGCGTGGTGGTGTGTGCATGTAGTCACAGCTACTTGGAAGACTGAGGCAAAAGGGTCATCTGAGCCCAGCAGGTGGAGGCTGCAGTGACCGTGAGCAAGCCACTGTACTCCAGCCTGAGCGACAAAGTGAGACTCTGACTCAAAAAAAAAAGTGTGAGCCGGGCTCGGTGGCTCAACCTGTAATCCCGCGCCTTTGGGAGGCTGAGGTGAGTGGATTGCCTGAGCCCGCGGGTTCGAGACCCACCTGGGCAGCAAGACCTCATCTCTACAATCAATCAAAAAATCAGCCGTGCGTGGTAGCGCGCGCCTGTAATTCCGGCTACTTGGAAGGCTGAGGCGGAAGGATCGCCGGAGCCCAACAGGTCAAGGCTGCGGTGGCCGGAAGTGGCCACTGCACTCCAGTCTGGGCGACAGAGTGAGACTCCAACTCAAAAAAAAAAAAAATGAAAGAACTTGATGTAAAAGGCTGTAAAGTTAGAATATTATGCAACCTTAAAAAGAAAGGAAATTCTAACCCATACTATAGCAGGGATGAACCTTGAGGATATTATGTTAGGTAAAATAAGTCAGTCACAAAAAGACAAATACCACATGATTACACTTACATGAGATATTTAGAGTGGTCAAAATGTATAGATACAGAAAGCAGAAAAAGTGGTTGCCAGAAGCCAGAGGGAGAGAGGAAAGGGGAGTCATTGTTTAATGGGTATAAAATTTCAGTTTTACAAAATGTAAAGAGTTCTAGAGATAAATGGTGGTGTGTTTGCACAACATTATTCCTGTATTTAATATCACTGAATGTATATTTTTAAATGGTTAAGATGTATTAGGCATGGGTAGCACTTGCCTGTACTTCCAGTTACTTTAGAGGCTGAGGCAGGAGGATCACTTGAAACCAGGAGTTCAAGTACAGCTTGAGTAACATAGCAAGACAGCATTATTAATTAATTTTTGGCCAGGCATAGTGGTTCATGCCTATAATCCCAGCACTTTGGGAGGCCAAGGTGGCAGGATCACTTGAGGCCAGGAGTTCAAGACCAGCTTGGGCAACACAGCAAGACCTCATCTCGACAAAAAAATTTAAAAATTAGTTGGGCAGTGGCATGCACCTGTACTCCCAGCTACTCAGGAGGCTGAGGCAGAAGGATTGCTTGAGCTCAGGAGATCAAAGTTGTGGTGAGCTACGATCATGCCACTATACTCCAGCCTGGCGACAGAGTGAGATCCCAACTCAAAAATAACAATAATTTTTTTAAATGGTTACGATGATAAATCTTATGTGTATTTTACCAGAAAATTTTTAAAAATTGAGGGGAAAAAAGCTGTAAAGTCCCACTTAGGATTCAATAAAGGAGGCAATAGGCATAGTAGCTCAGAACAGGGACTCCAACATCACACTGAATGATATGCCCTCTGCCACTTACTAACCTGTTAATCTTCCCCTTTTTTGCCTAGATGGGCTCCCCAGACAATGGTAGCTAGACTCATGCTCAGCAAATAAGAGATGAGAAGAACTTGCCTAGAGAAATGAAATGATCTCAGAAAAAAGGCCCAAAGACATTGCCAAAGAAAGACCTGGACCCCTACCAGTCCACAAACCTTTTAAATACTTTTCAGGTTCTAACGATTAACTTGTTAGTACCTGAAAAAAACTACAATGAATTGACAACCAAGAATCAACACAAATTTGAAAAAAACTTCCAAGATGAAAGTCAGAGACCAGAGCAAATATACAGAGGGGGAGAAAAATCAGAGGAAACAGAGGACTGTGCAAAGAGAAAGACAAAACTTCAAATATAAAAGTAAGCCAGACTCAGTGGCTCATGCCTGTAGTCCTAGCACTCTGGGAGGCCGAGGTGGATGATCGCTTCAACCCAGGAGTTCAAGACCAGCCTGGGCAACATAGCAAGACTCCCCATCTCTAAATAAATAAATAAAGTAAAATTAATATAATTAATATACTGAGAAAAACAAAAGTTATTAAAACTATATAAAGCACAGTGGGGAAAGAAATTGTTACTTCAATAAATGATACTGGGAAAACTAGCTATCTACATGCACAAAGAATGAAATCGGAGGCTTATCTTACACCATACGCCAAAATCAACTCAACATGAATTAAAGATTTAAACAGAAGACCTGGAACCTAAAAACTCCCAGAAGAAAGCATAGAAGAAAAGCTCCATGATGTTGGTCTTGGCAATTATTTTTTGAACAGGACACCAAAACCACAGGTAACAAAGGCAAAAATAAACAAGTAAGAGGACATCAAATTAAAAGCTTCTGTCCAGTCAAGGAAACACTCAACACAGGCTGGGAGGAAATAGCTGTGACCTACACATCTGATAAGGGGTTAATATTCAAAATACATAGGGAATTCACACAACTCAATGTCAAAAAAAGAGCAATCTAATTTAAAATGAGCAAAGGACCTGGACAGACATGTCTCCAAAGAAGACATAAAAATGGTCAATAGGTCAGATATAGTGGCCCACGCCAGTAATCCCAGCACTATGGGAGGTCAAGGTGGGAAGATTGCTTGAGCCCAGAAGTTTAAGACCAGCCTGGGCAACATGGAAGAACCTCGTCTCTACAATAAATAAAACAATCAGTTGGGTATGGTAGCAATGCCACTCGGGAGGCTGAGATGGAAAGACTGCCTGAGCCCAGGAGATCAAGGCTGCAGTGAGCCATGATCATGCCACTACACTCCAGCCTGGTCGACGGAGTGAGACCTGACTCGAAAAAAAAAAAAAATTGGCTAACGGCTATATGAAAAGATGCTCAACATCACTCATCATCAAAGAAATACAAATCAAAACCACAAGAAGATACCGCCTCAGACCTGACAATGGCTTTTTATCAAAAAGACAAGAGATGTGTTGAGGATAGTGTGGAGAAAAGGGAGCCCTTGTGCACTGTTGGTGGGAACATCGGCTGGAACAACCATGGAGGAAATAGTAAGGAGTTTCCTAAAGAAATTAAAAATAGAACTACCTCAAGACCCAGCAATCCTTCTTTGGAAATATAGCCAAAGGAAATGAAATTACACCTCGTAAAGATATCTACACGCCCATGCTCATGGCAGCATTATTCACCATAGCCAGGCTATGGAAACAACCAATGTGGCCAGTGGCTGATGATGGATTTTAAAAAATGGAATAGACAGCATATACAATGGAATATTATTTAGCTTTTAAAAAGATAAGATCCTGCCATTTGCAACAACATGAGTGAACCAAAAGAATATCATGCTAATTGAAATAAACCAGACACAGAAAGAAAAATACAGCTGATCATGGTGGCTCATGCCTGTAGTCCCAGCACTATGTAAGGCAGAGGCAAAAGGATTGTCTGAGCTCACAGGTTCAAGACCAGCTCAGACAACTTGGCAAGACCTCATTTCTACCATAAATCAAAAAATCAGTTGGCATGGTGATGCACACCTGTAGTTCCAGCTACTTGAAAGGCTGAGGCAGAAGGATCACCTGAGCCCAGCAGTTCGAGGCTGGTGGCTGTGAGTGTGTCACTGCACTCCAGCCTGGGTGACAGAGTGAGACTCTAACTCAAAAATTAATTAATTAATTAAAAAGAAAGAAAGAAAAATACAACATGATCTCACTTGTATGTGGAATCCAAAAAAAAATCAAATCAGATACATAAAAACAAAGACTAGAACAGTGATTGTGGGTAGAGAAATATGAAGATATAGGTCAAAGGTACAAAGTTGCAGTCACGTAAATAAACAAAACTATAAAGCAAGAACAAAATGCTAATTTTTTAAAAAAGGAACATTAAAAACAAAAGAGCACTTAAAAATTTAAAATATGGTAGAATAAAATTTTAGAAAAATATTTAGAAGATAACTTTAAGAAAATGTTCCAGAAAATGCAACAAATAAACAATAAAACACGAAAACATAAGGAAATTAGAGGATTAATTCAGGGGTCCAGGAGTGGACAAAAAAGAACTCTAGAAAGAGAGAATGGAGAAAAAAGAGAGGAGGAAGTTACCTAAGAAAGAATGCAAAATTTTTCTTAGAACAGAAGGACTTGGTTTCGAGATTGAGAAGGCCAAGTGTGCAGCACAATGGAAATGAGCTTACAAACTCCTGAGGTGGTGACAGTCAGGGCCAAGTCCAGGTCACAAACAACAGATCAAGGGCACGGTGGCTCATGCCTGTCATCCCAGTACTTCGGGAGATGGGAGGATTGCCTGAACCCAGGGGTTGGAGACCAGCCTGGACAACTTGGAGAGACCGCATCACTACAATACATTTTTAAAAATTAACTGGGTGTGATGACACGTGCCTGTGGTTCCAGCTACTTTAAACCAGCCCAGCAGGTTGAGGCCACAGGGGCCATGAGCATGCCACAGCACTGTAGCCTGAGCAACAGAATGAGACTCCAACTGAAAAAAAATAAAAAAAGACTTGAATGAAATGTGAAGAAACACTGATTTCCTATCTATCTAATCTATCCCTCAAGTGTGAAAAAGAAAAATGGACTTTTCATATATACAAGGACTCAAATCTTTCACACAGAAAGAAGAAAACATAGGCTTCTGTAACACAGAAGGACTTTGGGTGGGAGGGAAGCCACAGCATGAGGGAGGGCTACCCCAGGACTACAGGAGCACTGCAGGGCAAGAAATCAGCTGGGTCCAAAGCAAAACTGGAGCTGGGAATGGTGGCTCACACCTATAATCCCAGCACTTTTGAAGGCCAAGGTG